AAACTCATAGTTCATTCTCAGACCATTACTGCTTGTGCTTCTACTTACAGTAAAGTGTGTTGGATGCATTCTGTCATTCGTGTATTTTATTATAATTATTACCAATTGTTGAACTATTCTTCCCAAGGCTAATTTCCCAACATTATTGTAATATCTATCATATCATTCTTATCTGTAGTATATTGCTGCTCTGAACAGAGTTTTCTTGCCTCATCATTTTCCTTGCTGTTTTGCGATGGTTTATTTATTCCTAGGAATACTAAGGTGCATTTCAATCTGTTTTCCACATGAACTCCTCTTATCTGCCTCTCACTCAGAGTTTGTTCTATATATTATCCATGCTCTGAATATCATTTCCTACTTGATTTTGATTTTCATTATCCTTATCTTAACCCTAAATCTACTATTTCTCTTCATATTGGTATAATTTGTTCCAGTTTATTATCATCAATGACTATTTTACTCTTGTCAAATAGCCGTTATTTCTTGCAGATTACAAATGCACTCTTTAGTATTTCCTGTGCGGATTTCCTAAACATGGATGATCTCTCTGCATATCGTGGAATGAAGAGTTCGATTCTTTTCCTGTACAATAGTTCTTTTTTAGATACGCTTTTTTATTTGTAATCAAGTTGCTTTGTATTAGTGGTTCTCGTTTCCTCAATATTATTTCTTGTCCCTATTTCATATATTATAAAATAGGGATTAGGGTACAAACCGTATATTTGTATTTCTACTTTTTTATACATTTCTTTTGTATTTTATAATGAAATCTCTATTATTCGTAAGTACTCTATGTATGTCATCGTATCACTACTAACTCTTAGTCTTACTTGTGTATTGTGACTTAACTTGTTCTTCTGGAGAAACTTATGTCAAGTTTGTGAAAAAGTGTGGCGATAGCAGTGCAATTGAGGAATCTTTCAAAGTATATGATGGATCGACTCTATTGTATACTGGAGCCAACTTTGCCAACAGGGAAACACGAACGTTTGAGCAATGCTTAACCTCTTCCGTCAATAATCAATTCACTGTTGAGCTAATCGACTCATATGGCGATTCGTGGTATACTGGATCCTATCTGACTATATTGGGGAAGTCTGGAAATGTAGTTTTCAAAAATATGATGACAGATAATAACCAAGAATCTTTTCCCTTTTCTCTCTATTATGGAATTGAGCAAGATTCCACTTGGAAGATGACTTCCGGCGTTGCTTCTGCTGGATGGACTGAGTACTCGTTTTCTGACAGCACTTGGACGGATGTTACTCTTGGTTCTGAGACTACAGTTGAATCTGGTACTCAATATTTCCGTAAGCAGTTCGTGGGTCTTTCAGATATGGCTGCTTATGATGTGCGGCTGTACTATAAGGCTGGAGTGATTGCCTATATCAATGGAATTGAGGTCTACCGCGACAATCTGCCTGATGGAGCTGTTTCTTCGACCACTGCTGCGACTGGAGAATATACTGAGATTGCCTATCGTGGATTCATCCGTCCTGGATCTGAAGTGGCTTCACAACAATCGATTCTGGCTGTGGAGCTCCATTTCAATTCTACACAAACTATTGTTGATTTCAATGCCTATCTTGCTATTCTGGCTACCTCTACTACTGAAGGCAATTGTTTTATTTATGCTGAATCTACTTATGTGACTTCGAACGGTGGCTCAAGTGTTGCCAATATCTTTGATTTCGTTAAGTCAAGTTATTATCAGGCTAGCTCTTCATCCCTTCCTGCTACTGTAACCTACTCCTTTGAAGGACCAAGACCCTACATTAACTCCCTCCGTGTTTGGCCTTATACGTCCATTACATCTGCTCCTAGCACATTCTCTTGGCAAGGATCGAACGATAATTCGCAATGGACAACTGTGTTTACTGTATCCGATGCTACTTATGAAACCAAGGTTTACCAAATCTTTGGTGGTTATTTCTATGCTTCGCTTTACCCGCACTATCGTCTCAATATTGTTAGTAGCAGTGGTACTAATTATGTTTATGCATATGAAGTCCAACCCTTGATTTGCTCTATATCCATTCCAGCCTCTATCACATTCACTCCTGACTCATACACCTTCTTGGCAAGATTTGAAATGGTGTATGTCCAGCCTGATATTTCCGAGTTTACTTCATGTTCAGCTCAGAACCTTCCTGAGGGTCTTTCAATTGATTCTGTTACTTGTGTGATTTCTGGAGTTACAAATATGGCTGTTTCTGATTTGACGATCACTGTTACTTCTGTTATGAATAGCAATACATACACTGGATCGTTTACTCTTAATATCCAGGAATGTTCTGGTACAGTACTGAACATTCTACGTACCTATGGATCCAATGCTGCTAAGGAGAGTTTCGAAATTAAGGATACTTCAACCCAGCAAACAATCATATCTGTTGCTGCCAACTCTGGTCAGGTTAGTAATGAAGATTGGACCCATGTTGTTTGCGTTACTGGATCAAAGTATGCAGTTACTGTAGGATCCGAAAACAGTTATTGGAGCGCTGCTTCCTTTCTGTATGTCCGTGCTGTTCTCTATGGTGATGAAATGGAAACGATTCTTCGTATGAGATATGACATAAATGTCGGTTTCCCTTCATCTCGTACGTTTAATGCTCAGTATTCCATTCTTCCCCATTCCAACTGGTATTACAAGCATGGAGAAGTTCCTACTGATTGGTATTCATCAACTTCCACTACTGGATGGACTGAGGGAAATACCAGCAACTTCCCCGACTCTACCAACCAGATCCAGCTGTACAAGAAGACATTCACTGTTGCGGACATCAACAACATTGCTGGATTCGTTCTTTCCATCAAGTACAAGTATGGATGCATTGTCTATCTGAATGGACATGAAGCGTTCAGAAAGGGATTAACGGATGCTATGATCAGCACTTCGAGTTATGCTGACAACATTTACACGGATACTCTCTTTCACCAGATTTCTCTTCCCATCAAGACGGTTCAAGTTGGAGAGACCACCGCTGTGAACTACATCCAACAGGGATCGAATACCATTGCTATTGGACTCGTTGCTGCCAATGCAAACCAGAAGGAAGCGATCTTCGATGGTGCCATTCGATTGATGGGCGACACGACCAAATCTCGTGTCTTTGACTACACTGTTACCTACAGTGGATTGGATAGAGATGTATCTGAATGTTTTGAGCAATACTATGCATATGAAGTCGAGCCATCATCATACACGACTAATTATTTGAATATTGCGTTCAACAACGATCGTCAAGAATGGATCAACTCTGTGACTATCAAGGCATACTACAGACAGATTAGAGCGCAGCCTCGTGAGTTTGTGCTAAAGGCTCGAAGTGGAAATGATGCATGGACCACGTTGACAACCGTGACTGAGCTTACTTGGTCTCAAGTTGGTCAGGCTCAAATCATCTATTTCCAGAATAATAAGGCATACAACAGTAGTAGGGGAATGACGGGAAACGCGCGGAACCCAAAGTCGCCCCTCCGACCTCATCTACGAGAGTGCGCGGCTCAAAGTCGCCCCTCTGACCCCATCTTTGTTTTCGCGTATTCCCGTCAGAACACAAAAAATCCCCCAAAGTCACCCCTCAGACCCCCTCAACTGGTACCTTGATTTTTGCGTTTCATAAGAATTTCAGCACTCATGAGTAAAACACGAGTGCTGAAATGTGCGATATCCATGACTATTATGGTTGTTATTGCTGGTCAATGTGATCATTTTCGACCATTTCCTGCCATTTTCTGCCATTGTCTACCTGCTCACCTCGATGTCCATAACAAGAAACGCGCGGAAACCCATGGCTGCCATTTTCGGCCAATGTTAACCTGACTTCCATTGTAGGCCATGGTATCCATGGTTGTGATGGGGACAACGTACGTTGCCCCGGGAGGAATCGAAGATTCCTCCCCATTGTCTTGTTGACTAAGGTAAAGAGAGAAAGACCATGCACTACTCCATGCTTATTCAAGGCTCACCTACCAACGGCTCATTTACATGGGTTAATCCGTACAAGTACAAGAATCCCTATATCACTTCCATGACTGTCCTGTTTCATCCTAATGGTTCGATGTTCAACAACGTGGACACGACGAATGTGATTACTAACAGCAATAACGAGAAGGTAACGATCCCTGCTGGTTATTACACGATCAGTGAGATCATTGCCTTGCTCAATACCATGACCGATACCACATTCTCCATATCTACTAACGCCTCGTCGTTCGGTTGTATCTGGATTCAGTCCCCACACACCATTGACTTCACAGATGCACCTGACATTTGTGAGATCCTCGGCTTCGATGGACGAACGGTCATTCTACCTGCTTCGTTCAGTGGATCGAACGTGATTGATATCACGCGAAATCGACAAGTGATCCAGGTCTACTCGACGATCGTGCGATCATCGGACTTGAAGATTGCCAACCAGAACAACAACCTGCTCACCACGATGATCATTGACAATCCAACGGCTGACTACGTGCGAACTGTGGAAGACGTGTGTATTCCAATGATCACTCGGTTTGATCAATTGATGTTCGTATTCCGCGATATGGATGGCAAGATGATGCGATTGAACGGCGAATTCGAACTCCAGTTGACGATTGAGGACGTGATGGAGGAAGTGCCTTCATCGATGGGGGAAGCTTCGCTTCCCCCGGGGGTGACGATGTCACCCCCAACGATTGTCTCTGCAAACCAGTTCAGTATGATGGAAGTGTTCGGTAATACCACCAAGAAGGAAGTGAAGCTGGGCAATCCTCTCTCGTTCGACCAGTGCTACATCTCGTCTGTGTCAGTTGTATACGGACTTCGTGGTTGCACAACGTGCCGACTGATCAAATGGTGCTAATCAATGCTGGCGCTACGATTCAAGAGATCACGATACCACGCGGTGCATACGACATCGAAACGATCATTGCAAAGCTGAATGCAAGTGATGCCCTGTTCGAATTGGTGTATAGCGGTGAGAATGCGTTCCACATCACGGTAGATCACTTCTACATGATCGATTTCACGAATGCACCAGAGATCAGGTCGATCCTTGGTTTCGAATCGGACATCTTGGTGAAAGGAGTAGGTGGTTTCGGCGCTGCACAGCGTGTTCGACACGCTGGCGTTCAAGAACGAGATCAGTTTCTGGCGCAATCGGAACAACATGGAGGGCTTGTCGGTTCGCACAGTGTTCATGAACGTGTTCGTGAATCTGATCGTGCTGCTTTATCTCATCAACAACGAGACCTCCATGATGATCCTGATCTCCAACGCCGTGGGCCTTCTGATCGAGGTAAACGCTGGGCGAGGAGGCTGAGTTGCAGCTGTGGAAGGTCACCAAGGCGGTGAAGATTCGCTTCTATTGGAAGGGGAACATGCCGGTTCTTCGAATTCGCGACCGCGCGACGTACAGCACGAGCAAGACGAAGGAGTACGACGACATCGCGATGAAGCATTTGATGGTGATTTTGTATCCGTTGGTGGCGGGGTACGCGGTGTACTCGCTGATCTACGAGACGCACAAGTCGTGGTACGATTGGATTATCACCTCGCTGACGAACTTTGTGTATCTGTTCGGTAGGAGAGAAGGGGAATCGTAAGGCGCAGGATTCATTTGCGCTGCAGCCCAGAAAGCATCAATTGTAGAACTTTAT